GGGATAGTGTGATCTATATCAGAGATAGCGTGTACGTAAATAAAAACGTGAACATTGAAGTCAACACTTAGTGGCGACAGACTGTTTCATGCTAAACACAATCATTAGCTTAAGATTACTTAAGTTTAAATTCGAAGATAGGATAACAAAAAAAAAAAAAGAAGATATTTAAATTTAAGCCAAATAAATAAATTAATTAATTAACTATAGACTCCAGACAAAATAACCGTTACAATCGACTACCCACAATGCACCACTGACCCGTATATATAAATAGTCGAAAAAATCTCAACACATGTGGCCTGATTGCGTTTAACATGAAACTGTCTGTCGCCTCTGAGTGTTAAATTTAATGTTCACTTTTATATAAGATTTAAGATAAAGCCAATATTTTATATATAGTGCTGAGTATTAAAAATATTAAAATAATATTAAAAATAGAGCATTATTAATATTATATAAAAGATAACTTCACTTTAGAGTCTGTCTATATTTCTGAGATGAGGTATTATGTACAGTATTTACATTAGTCGGACTATTGTCCTCATCTTTGTCGCCATATTTGTCACAACGTTTCGGCCGTTGTACGCTCCGGCCTTCCTCAGGTGGTTGGAATTTCGAACTGAACCCCTTTATTTCGATCACTGGGGTAGACCACTCCAGCTCCACGTGCCATGTTTGATGGATGTCAGTTATCAGTTATCTCCCGCTAATTTTCCCTCTGAAAGTTCTCCACTGCCTTAACCAGGTATTGAACTCACCTTCTTTGGGTCTGTCACTGGATCTAACCAACGCCTTTATCCACTGTGCCATGTGTCCTTGAGGACACATGGCACAGTGGAAATAAAGGGTTCAGTTCGAAATTCCAACCACCTGAAGAAGGCCGGAGCGTACAACGGCCGAAACGTTGTGACAAATATGGTGACAAAGATGAGGACAATAATCCGACTAATGTAAATACTGTACTTCACTTTAATTTCGAAGTTGAGGAAAACAAAAAAAGTTATCTTTTTATATAATATTATATATATATATATATATATATATATATATATATATATATATATATATATATATATATATATATATATATATATATATATATCCGTGTTTGTGTGTGTGTGAATAAATAAAGTCTGAAAGAAAAGCCGAGGTTACGTTCTCTGAGGATTTTATCAAGTCAAATGTAAGGATTTAATTTTGTAACAATTTCTATCCAAGAGCCAATTGTATTGACATTTTTTTAAGACTCGGGGTTATGGGTTAATAACATTTGTGATGATACTTAAAAATAAGAATTGTAAGAACAGTTAAAAGAAACAAATATATTAAAATGAAGAAAGTGATAATTGATCGAAAAAGGTAGTTGAAATAACGACATGATTGATAATTAAAGATGGACGAGTAATATGAATATTTTTGAAGGAAAAAGTGAAGGAAGACAACAAGAAGAATAAGAAGATTGGAGACATAGAGATGATGAAAACGATGATGAATCCAGAAAGATTAAAACTGGCAATAATAATAATAAGAAGAAGAAGAAGAGGAAGAAGAATAAGAATAAGAATGATAAAAAGAAAAGTAATAATAATAATAATAAACAGAAGAAGAAGAAGAAGAAGAAAGAATAATAATACGAAGAAGAAGAAGAAGAGGAGGAAGAAGAAGAATATTAAGAAAAGTAATAATAATAATAATAAAAAGAAGAAGAAGTAGAAGGAAAGGAATAAATATAATAATGAGAAGAAGAAGAGGAAGAAGAAGAGGAGGAGGAAGAATAAGAATAATAATAAGAAAAGTAATAATAATAATAATAATAAGCAGAAGAAGAAGAAGAAGAAGAAAATAATAATAAATAATAATAATAAGAAGAAGAAGAAGAAGAAGAAAAGGAATAAATATAATAATAATAATAATAATAATAAGCAGCAGAAGAAGAAGAAGAAGAAGAAGAAATAATAATACTAATAATAATAATAAGCAGAAGAAGAAGAAGAAGAAATAATAATAAGAAGAAGAAGAAGAAGAAGAAGAAGAATAAATATAATAATAATAATAATAAGAAGCAGAAGAAGAAGAAGAAGAAATACTACTACTAATAATAATAATAATAATAATAAGAAGAAGAAGAAGAAGAAGAAGAAAGAATAAATATAATAATAATAATAATAATAATAATATGAAGAAGTAGAAGAAGAAGAAGAAGAAGAATGTTTTGATGAAAAGATTAAGATTATATTTGGGTCATGGATAAAAGAAAACGAAAAGAAGAAAGTTGTATTAAAAAGTAGATCTGACAAGAAAGGATAATAGTAAGAACATGAATTAGATAAGAGAAAGCAGCAGCAGCAGCAACAGCAGAAGAAGAAGAAGAAGAAGAAGAAGAAGAAGAAGAAGAAGAACAATAATAATGATAATAATAGTAACAATAATAATAGTAATGATGATGATAATATTGTTAACCCGAAATGCAAATTCTGTGATAAATATCCAAAAACAATTTACCATCTTGTATCAGTTTGCACAGTGTTAGCACCCACTGAATATAATATTCAGCATGATAGACTGAGCCAATATCTGCACAGGAAAATCTGCAACTTTTAGGGAAAGGAAATCGCATGGAATTGGTATGAACATCAACCAGACCCGATTACATATATAAGAGATGTTAAAAATTTCATTGCACTTTACAATACACAAAGACAATAACAATGAAAGCTAATCACCCAGACATCGCAATCAAAGACGATAAAAACAGAATATGCTTTAATATTGACATAGCAAACCCTGTAGATTGTAATGTATATCTGAAAATCTTCAAAAAATATATCAAAATACAAGGAACTTGAAGTGGAAATCTCAAACATATGGCTCATGAAGGCATCAGTAATTCCTGTTGTAGTTGGAGCTTTCTTATTGATTGGAAAAAGGTCCCAATAGACACATCGAAGGTATACTTGGGACCCCATGCCTTAAAGAAATATCAAAAATTGTACTCACATGTTCAGCTTAAACATTACGAAGACTTTTATCTATGTAAAATATGTGTGATCTTTTTTAAAAAGAAAAAAAAAATCAGTGAAAATTTTCATGAAGATATTTCTGAGTTTAGATCTCTGGTTGGGACCCGGATGGAAAATATGTATGCAAAGAGAAATCAAAATAAATAATAATAATAATAATAATACCTGATATTATCATAAAAGACAAGAAATTCAGGAAATTTATGCTTATTGACAATAGCAGTACAATCTGAGAGAAACACTTCCATGGAAAATATCAGGAAATTGTCCAAATATAAGGACCTGGAGATCGAGATTAACAGGATGTGGGGAATAAAGACTGAGACTGTACCGATAGTAATCGGAGCACTGGGCCTCGTAAGAAAAGGAATAGGCAATTTTACTGACAGTGTCGCAGGTAACATCAACATACAAATTCCTCAGAAGTTCGCCTTACTAGGAAGATCCCATATACTAAGAAAAGTGCTATCAATTAAAGGAATTCTCCTAAGGGCCTAAGAACCATTGTTTGGACCCAGCTCTACAGGATACAAAGCAGGAAACATAGCATACATAAATAATAATGATGATAATAATAATAATAATAATAACGAGGAAGAAAAAGCACCAGAACAAATGCAAATAGACAACACAGATAGATAGATAGATAGATAGATAGATAGATAGATAGATAGGAATGTTGGTAGATATTGGCAGTGATATATAGACTTTGACATAGATAGATAGATAGATAGATAGATAGATAGATAGATAGATAGATAGTGTTGTAGAGTAGTTTTCACAGTGGAGGCTTGTATATCACTAAGTCGTCCTAAATTAGGTTCGACGTACAGGAACTTGAAAAAAAGAGTTAATGACGCAGCAATCTAGTTGTGATGGGTGATACTTCAATGTCCGACATCGACTGACTCACTCAACACCACTGAGCTCAACTGGCGACTGCTACTACTACTACTACTTATTATGTGTGGGATAGTCTATTAATAATAGAATAGGTAAGTTTAGGTATGATAGATAGATAGATAGATAGATAGATAGATAGATAGATAGATAGATAGATAGATAATGAACAGATTTAGATAGATAGATAGATAGATAGATAGATAGATAGATAGATAGATAGATAGATAGAAGGTCACAATTGTGTAAGAAAGAAAGAAAGAAAGAAAGAAAGAAAGAAAGAAAGAAAGAAAGAAGTGATTTGTAAGTCAAAATTCTGACGGGAAAAGTGACTGAAAATGAGACAAAAATGTAAAGTTTTTAAAGAAATCCTAAAAGTAGAAACGACCCAAATAAAATGGAAATCAAGTAAGAAAAACAAACAAACAAATATTTATGCAAATTAAGAAAAATTATGATTACGGAGAATTTTATAATTAAACTAAAAAAATGAGACGATTAAGGAAAAACGAAGATACTCGACGAATAAACTATAGATAACAAACTTAAAAATACTAATTACTCTAATAATCTATTTAATACCCATCTATGCTAGTCTATTTTTATTATTAATGTTCAGATCTCAAGCTTGAGAGACACTCAGCGTATAGGTAAGAGGCAGTGATCTATTATGAATATGAGGAGGTGGGCAGATACCTACTGACCCTTGACGTCAAGAGTTAAAAATTTCATATTCAGCTAAGCAACAATGTGGGAGAGAACCTGTTCCACAAAGTTATTTGGAGAAACTCTCTATTATTGGAAGTTTCTCCTTGCAATTGGAAAACGTGAGGAATGAGGCTAGTTCGCTTCCGTGGATGTAGCATAATATGTCCTATCTGTAAAGGATGCCATTTGCATCCTCCCTTGAAATACAGGTGATTATAATTCATGCGCTTGTAAGCTCGACAAATCTCACTGCTAAACAAAGAAAAACATTTCATGTTGAGTCATACTAGACTGTTTTACTCATCAAGTTGATATCTGCCGCTTCTTCCAATCTTCTACTCTTCAGAGGTGTTTCATGACAGTTATTTGTCAATTATGTTAACTAAACCTTCACTCCTATCTGAATGTGTCTTAATATATTTAAATTTACACTCTTATCTGAATATATCTTAATATGTTTATCATCGTTACATCTCATTGTGACTTAACTTATCTAACTGGTGACATGTTTTCATAATTTCGAAATAATATATATGATAATCCCCATAAATGTACATTTCGCAGCGGATCAACGGAATCAATCTAGCGGTATATACAATTTGAAAACATTCCAACTAAAACTCTAATAGGAATACACTAAGAGCAAGAGTAATTGCAACAATAACAACGAAAATCTCACGCCAAATATGAAAGTGAAAGTGAAAGTGAATGTGAGCATTCTTGTTAAAAATGTCCTTAGGGCATTTCAAATGAACTTTGTTCAGATTGATGTAGCTAAAGACAATTGCATATTTTAATTCTGACTACACGCCGTTCATCTTCAATTTCAGTTTGCCTTCTCAAACGTATGCCTTCTTTTTTTTTTCTTTTGGTCGTTTATCGTTTATTATCGTTTTAGGCAACGTTTCTACTCTCGTGTTTGCTCGGCGGTCAAACGAATGTTGAAGAATTGATTACTTCGTAGCCAATTTGGTTCAGGCAATGTGCTTTTCTCTTTCAATTTACTGCCGTCTTTCTTCAAACTTTGGCTAAATGTGAAGCTCTTTCCGTTGTTTCATGAGGAAAAACAGCCTCTTCCGAAAGGACATACACACTGCTCAGTGTTAGTTGGGTTTTAATAATAGACAACCAATTGTTAGTAACAGAAAATTATTTTAGTATTAATAATACTACTTCTGTTTAACTTGTTTCAAACAATCTTTTAAAAGGGTTGTCTATTTTGAAAAATATAAAGTGAAGATCTGCACTATCAATAATAATAATAATAATAATAATAATAATAATAATAAAATTAACAGGCTACAAATTATATATTGTGAAGTCGCCATCCTCTGGAATTTCAGCATTCAGTCTAATGGATAATCCAAGTAAATGGATCAGATATAATTGTGAAATAGATGTCGTATACTCAACGTACAAAAGGAAATCTTTGAAAACGTTTGAGGAACAAAATAAATACAAGGATATTACCCCCAAGAAAGCCGATAATGTCTCTAAGACCCAAGAGTATTCTCGGAGTTAAAGAGAATGAGTAAACATTGGAAGGAACCGGAAACCAAATCCTAAACAGAAAACAAAGGTTAAATCTCTACTCCTGTTCAAAGACCGTGGAGGATCGTGAACCGGGTGATAGACGAACCTATCAGCTGTTATGTTATATTTAAGGAACGCTTAATTAGGACTGTATATTGGTTCCCCCAAATGGAATCTAATAATTCCAATTTATTTTTATTAAACAAAATTTGTTTGGTGTTTTTTGTACTTGTTTAAATTTGGTGTCTTCAATTAGTAATTGGCAGAATAAATACGAAATTTTAAATATCTGGGAAGTGTTTTATCAGAACGCGGGTAGTGTAACCCAGAAATCCGAAGGCGAATTGGTATAGCTAAAGATGCCTTCCAAAAGTGAAGCAAAGTATTAAGAAACAGAACAAAAATCGCGTTAGAAACAAAGAAAAGAGCACTGAAATCTAACGTAATATCAGTCCTCCCAATATCAAAGTGAATACTGGACAATCTTCTCACAGATGAAGGGGAGATTTGAAACAACAGAAATGTGGTTCTACAGAAGGATGCTGAGAATACTATATACTGAACATGTAAGAAACGCCGTAGTTTTAAAGAAAATGGAAACAAAAACAGAAAGTTACATAATAACAGGAAGAAACGTTGGAAATTTATAGAGTACATAATAAGGAAAGAAAGCTCGGAAAATCTGATACTCACAGGACAGATTGAAGGCAAGAAGGACAGAGTAAAACAACACATAACTTACTTAGTAAATGGATGTCGGAACAAAATTTAGCAGAAATCCCAAAAGACATAACATATCTGATCCGGATATTTTTTTTAAGAGTTTCACCCTAAGCAAGGCGGGAAGCCACTAGCACGCAAGGGGATACAGAGAGTTGGAGCTAGAGCAAAAAGGAGTGATAGAGGAAAGGATGAAGAGAAGGATAGAGGATAGATCAGGGCATCTTGAGACGTTGATTGACATTTCATTTGAATAGTTAGAGATTATAGCCATCAGGGAAACAAGAAAAGGGGAGGGAGTTCCACAGGCGAGAAGCTATTGGAGTAGAAAAAACGGCTACATTTAACAGTTTCGACAGTGAAAGGGTGAGAGCGGGATGCCAGCCTCGTAGAACGCTTAAATTCATGAAGTCTGGGAACCAGCGAAAGCAGCTCCTCGGAGCAGTTACCATGAAAGTATTTGTAAAAAAAGACAGAGGGAGACGACTGCACGTCTGTGAGAGAGCGACTGCAGACGAGATGCCAGATCGGGGCCAATTACGTTGCATATCCGTCTCTGGATCTTATCAAGAACCTTGAGACAAACATAAGGGACACCAGACCATATATGGCAGCAATACTCCATGCAAGGGCGAATGGTTGATTTGTAGATTTGAAGGATCGACTCCGGCGAAAAACATTTCCTGGCGCGGCACAGGAAGCCAACTTTCCTTGCGCTGGACGAAGATATAAACTCAATGTATTTGTTCCATCTCAGGTTAGCAGACAATGTGAGGCCGAGTAGTCGCAAAGAGGAGCTCTCGAAGTTGAGCGTCAGACATTCTAATGGAAGGCAGGATGGATCTCTGGGGTGAGTAATAGAGAGAGTTTTATTTTCACATATATATATATATATATATATATATATATATATATATATATATATATATATATATACTGAGAAAATAGTATGGCAAATTATAAATAATAATATATATATATATATACTGAGAAAAAATAGTATGGCAAATTATAAATAATAATAATTATTATATATATATATATATATCTATTGAGAAAATAGTATGGCAAAAAAGTATGTATATATTTTATATATATATATATATATATATATATATATATATATATATATATATATATATTATTTATATTGTTATAATTACTTTAAATGTCATATCTAGTATATACACGTTTTTTTTTAGTAGATAGGCCTCCTGTTTTTAATAAGTGTAAATATCTGCCTACCGGCCTGAGAATTCGAAAGTCTTAATAAGAAAAATATGCTCTCCTGTAGGTTTCTAACCTGTGTCCCACTCTGTATGTGAAAAAATATACATATATGTGCGTGCGTGTCAAGTTAAACTTCAAAATATAGATATATAGATATAGATATGTATATATATATATATATATGATATATATTCAATATGGATAGTTCATATTTATTTGTCTCAAATATTATATACAGTATACAAATGTGTGTATATAGAAATATAAATGCATACAGAAATATATATTGCAGTCTTAGCAACTTGACATCATCTGTAACAAAAAAAAAACAAATGTTTTATATACAAGGAGATTCGTTTCTGTGGTTGTGGGTATGCGGAAAAAAACATCTTTGTGACCGTCTTTTTGTTTTGCCTATCTGTATCGGCTTCGACCAAAATTAATCTTTATTTTCCCGCGGTTTGAAAATCGATTGAATGCAGGATGAAATCACTGGAGACAGATCTTCATCCTGCATAAAATAGCATTTTTGCAGACATAAGATTGATTATTACTCTCATGATTAAGTTTTCTTTTATAAATAACATTAAGGCTATTGTGGTTATGAATAATAATAATAATAATAATAATAATAATAATAATAATACATTTTGTTAATTATGAAAAAAAGATATAATTTTAATGAATTTTTATATTTCGAAATATTGGTAGAATTTTTATGCATTTTCATATTTGGTAATATTGATAATGTTTTTATAAATTATCATATTTGATAATATTCATGACGCTTTTGCAAATTATATTTGCTAATATTGAAGTTTTAAATTATAATATTTGGTAATATTGATAGTGTTTTTATAAATTATTATAGTTGGTAGTATTGATCGTTTTTTTTTATAAATTATCATATTTGGTAGTATTGATCGTGTTTTTATAAATCATCATATTTGCTAAAATTGATAGTGTTTTTAAATTATGATATTTGGTAATATTGATAGTGTTTTTATAAATTATTATAGTTGATAATATTGATAATGTTTCTTAAAGTATCATATTTTTTAATATTCATAATATTTTTATAAATTATATTTTGTAATATAGATAGTTGTTTTTATAAATTATAATTGCTGGCAATAGGTAAAGATAAGATAGTTTGATTACAAGGGCGAAGTGATAAGTTGAAATAATCTTTATTTTAAATGATTATATTATAACAAATACTAATGGAATTATTTTAATTAATTTAATGCTTACAGTATTCTTTATTTTAATCTGACACAAGGCATTGAGTTACCTTGTTAAATAAAGATCAACCAGAAGATATTGTTAATTTTTTCCTCACATATTATTAGCTTTGTTCATTGATTGTTGGCACGACAAAAAGTATTACTAAAAATGAATGTCCCTGTGCCAGATTTGTTATGACAACGACTGTAAATAGTGCTGGTCTTGCCCTTAAGTGGGATCTCGCCCTGACTCTTGATCTTCGTCTTCTCGTGCTGCGAGAATTGGGACGGTAACACGTTCTTCTTTTGGCAGTTGATATAATAACTCTCTTTCGTGGTCTTCGTCTACGCCTTCTTCGTCCCCTTATTCGGCATCTCATTAGAAGTATTATTATTATTATTATTATTATTATTGTTACAAGTATTAGCAGGAACATTATTATTATTATTAGCAACATTATGAATGTTTTTATTAATGCAACTACGCAATATCTTATCTGACTCATAAAATACATATTAGTTTCTGCAATGATATTTACAATTAATATAACAAGCAATATTATTAAAGTTGTCATCGACATTATAGGTCTTTCTCCTGTCAACTGATTTAATATTTGAATTGAGTATGTTTTGACAGTGATTATTCTTTCATATTTTATGTCTACTCAACTTATTGATTGTTTTTTCTCAAATGTGCGAAACACTTTTTGCAAATGTGTCTCTTATTTATGAAAAAAAATAACCCAGATTCATATTGTGTAGTCCGACCTTTCGACTTGCATGTGTCATCATCAGATGTGTGAATGCGAAAAGAAAAGGTATGTGCTTTTAAAGAAGCATATTGTTCTAAAAAATGTCATTTGAAAGCTAAATCCATTGCGACGGAACGCAGCTAGTCATGTGACGGTAACAGGTAAAACACGTGTAATGATTTCTTTTATAGTGACATACAGGGTTTCAAGCTATACTGTGTTTTATTTACGGATTGTTGTCTCAGTTGAATGTAAATTGATTCAACGATTTTTGTCGATTTTTTTAAAGAAATATTCTCGTATAATCAGAATGGAGCTGTTATATTTATTATTATAATTCTTGTAGTGCTTTTAAGAATTCTCTGTTCTGCTCAAAGTACTTGAGAGTCAGTTATATTTACTGTTATTCGATTCAGTTTTTTTTTTCACATAATCTTCGGTTTTCTACCAATTTTATTGAACTGAATATATATTCTATTGCAACGAGATTAATGACCATATTCACATTATCATCAGTATTATTGTATATCACATATTATCCAATAATGATAATGATGTCTTTCTTTTAAACATCTTGAACAATGTTATTTGTCCCAAGAATGTAAGGATATGAAATATTTATGTTATTATTGATATTTAGAAAGTCTATCGTCTAGGTATGACACAAGGCTATAAAAATATCAATTAAGATCGAATTTATTGACGAACCAGTAACCGACGACGTTAAAAAAAAATAATACTGAGCTTATCTCGTTTTATTACAAATCCACAATCGTATACTGCTCAGTCAGGATTTCTGATTTTCACTACTCAAGTTAGCTTGTTAACCATCACATTACAATCAGTGATCTATTTATGTTATTTTAATACTTCTCTGTTTTCATTCCTAACAAAACAGTAAGGATTTTATCTTATATTGTTATGCATAGTTTCTTTAGTTATCTTAGTTGATGTTTGCTATAGTGATTTTCTAAGCACAGCTTAGATGTGGCACAAGGCCGAAAGTATGGGACACCCAGTGAGGATCAAACTCACTAAGTTGATGTTTGCTATATATGTGGTGAAGGTTGTAAAAACAGTTCTCTTCTTATCAAAACCGTGAGGATTGTTTTTTATATTATTATTATATATGCTTCCTTTAGTTATCTTAGTCGCCGGTTGTTAAATATACGGAGGAGGTTGTAATGAAATGTTCTCGCAAATTTATTTGTATCTGATCGATACTGTAGCAGTGTATTTCTGATTAATTCAACCCTGGTATCTTTGATTACGTGTCACTAACAATGATTTATCAAATCAAGCACGTCTGGCGACATTCAAATGCTGATCATTTGGTCCTCAGCCGAAGTTAAATGGCACGGGGAAATTGATATCATGGGTAGTATTATATTACCTATTAAGTTTACTTTCACGATTTTCCTTGCCTGTTTGACATTGTTAATATTTCTAAATATTTATTAACTGATTATTATTTAAAAAAAAGAAAGAAAAAGAAAGTAGCGTGTGTTTACTGGGAATTCACGGGAGAGAACGTCAGCACAAAACGCCGCCATTTACGTCAGAGAATTTCCTGCTATTAGTAATGTTGATGTCGGTATGTCGCAGATATGTTCTTGACATCCCAATTCTTCCAGCTCCTCTTCTAGTGTGCATATAGCGGTCGATAATAAAGGGTACGCAAATCGCCTCCTTTATATCTCGTCGAGTAAAGCTATTCTTAGTGCAATTCACTTTAAATAACCCTGTTCGGACAATGAAATCCTCTTCGGACGGAGTTTTGTTTAAGACGACGAAATTCGTGGCTTTCTGGTGAGAATTTGGTGGTCCGCTGAAATTTCTAAATCCACTAAAATTGTCATTTTTCCCTTCTCTTGGACAGTAAACTTTTCAAGCATATGCATTTGATATGCATAATTAAATCTAAATCGTTTTCACAGTTCCATAGAAATTGCCGCTCCATCCTCTCATGTATATGTTTTTCTTCTTTCTGACCTTGTTAAATATTGACCGTCCTTTCTCTGTTATTTGATTTAATCTCCAGATTATAAATATTCGAAGAGAATAGAGCACTTTTAGAGTTTGAAAACACTGCGGAAGATTTTCTGAGATGTATTGATTCTGTCCGTCCGTCAGAAAAATTTGAGTTATAGGAAAGTCTATTCTTTTAATAAATATAGAATTGGAAGATTTTTTTTTTCTTATTCTTTCTCAATGGATTGCATATAAATATAAGTTTTTGATATGTTCTTTTGTAATCCGTATTTTAAAATATATGTAAGCATGTCTTTTTTTCTATTATTACACCTCAAGAAATGCGGTAATGTTCATTAGTGCGCAGAGCGTTAGAGAAAGTGAAAGTGAAAGTGAAGACTGAGAATAGGGAGAATTTAGGAAACTACAAAAGATGA